GGGCGTGTGTCGAAAGGCTTCAGGGTGGATTTAGGGTGGATTTAGTGTTGGCTTAGAATCTGTTTGAGGTGGGTTTGGGGTCGGCTTCGGGTGTAGAGTTGGATTAGGTAGATTTAGAGCAGGATTTCGGTGGGTTTGTGTTTGGTTTAGGTGGTCTGGAGTAGGTCTGTGGTGGCTGTAGGGTTGGCTTAGGGTTGGTGTAGGGTTGGTTCAGGGCGGGTTTACGGTTTGTCTATGTCTAGGGTGGAGTTGGGGTTGCGCTAGGGGAGGCTTGGGGTCGCTCAAGGGTGGCTTAGGGTTGATTTGGGGTGGCTTGATTTCAGGTGGGCTTAGGGTGTTTAAGGGTATGTTGTTCGTGGATATAGGTTGGTTCAGGGTTGGTCTGGGATGGTTTAGGGCGGGGTTTGGGGTTGGTTTAGGCTTGGATGTGGATTGGTTTTGCGGCTGGCCTAGGGATTTAGGGTTGGGCCAAGCTCAGCTTAGAGTCTCAGGGTGCGCTTAGAGTTGGATCAGGATGGGTTCATGGTTGGTACAGGGTGGGCTTATGGTTGGTTTAAGGTTGCTTTGGAGTGGCTCAGGGTTGGTTAGGGTTGGTGTCGGGCTAGGTTGGTTTTGAGTTTAGTGTGGGTTTAGCGTTGTTAGGGTGGGGATTTAGGGTTGTTTTTGGGTGAGTTTAGGGTGGGTGCAAGGTTGGTTTAGGGTTGGTTTTCGCTGGGCTTGAGTTTAAGGTTGGTTTTCGGGGTGGTTCGTGATTGGTTAAAGCTGGTTTAGAGTGGGTTTAGGATTGGGTTAGGATTGGCTTAGGGTCGTTTTCGGGTTAAGGGTTGGTTTTGGGTCGGTGGGTCTGTTCAGGTTGGTTTAGGTTGGGCTTAGGGTTGCATTAAGGCTAGATTAGGGTGGGATTGGGGTTTAGGCGGGTTTAGGGTGGGTTTATTGTTGGCTTAGGCTAAGCTTAAGGTGTGGGGTGGGATTATGGTTGGATCAAGGTTCGGGTGGGTTTAGAGTTCGTGTAGGGTGGGTTTAGGGTGGGTGCAGGACTGGCTTGTTGGTTTAGGGTTGGTTTAGGGTCGGTTTGGGATTGGTTAGGGGTGGGTTATGTATGCTTTAGGGTGGTTTCGAGTAGGTCTGTGGTGCTTGCGGTGGGTTTAGGGTTGGACAAAAGACGTTTCTGGCTTGCTTGCAGTTTAGGGGGTGTTGTGTAGGGTGGGTTTGGGTTGGGTTTGGGGTGGGTTTGGGCGTGTTTGGCTGGTTTGAGATGGATTTAGAGATACTGAGGGTTCGCAAGGTTTGGCTTAGGGCGGGCCTAGGGTTGGTTTGGGTTGGGTTGGGTGCGGGGCAGGCTTAGGTTGTTTTAGGTTTAGGGTGAGAAAAACAAGGTTGCGGGGTGAAACAAGCAAGCTCACGGGTGGAAAAAACAAGGCGGAGGGTGAAAAAAACAAGGCAAAGGGTGAAAAAAACAAGGTGAGGGGTTGAAAAGAAAGGATTTGTCAGGGTTGGAGAAACAAGGTTCCCGCCGACGGTTCCCAAGCAGGGTTTGAGGGTTGAAAAAAAAGGAAGGGTTAAAAAAACAAGTTCGGAGGGTGAAAAAAAAAGGGAGCCCCCCATTTGGCGATAGGGAAGCCTGTCAAGCAAGACTGGGTGGTGGCCATGAACTCCCACCAAGATGATGTTTTCCAACAAGCCAAACAGCCCTCCGACTGAAATTCCCACCACTTCGGCAGCTGTGGGCCCCCCTCGGGGTCGCGGGTTCGCTTCGGTCCTAGTTGCTGGCTCGCTTCGGTCCTAGTTTTCATCTCGCTTCGGTCCTAGTTTCCTTACTCGCTTCAGTCCTAGTTTCTTCGCCGTTGACTATGGTGTTTGAGAGGCAACATCCTTGACCCCACCCCACCCGGCATGTCTTGTTGTTAGGTGTTCGAGAGGCAACATCCTTGTCGACCCCACCCCGCCCGGCATGTCTTGTTGTTAGGTGTTTGAGAGGCAACATCCTTGTCGACCCCACCCCGCCCGGCATGTCTTGTTGTTAAGTGTTTGAGAGGCAACATCCTTGTCGACCCCACCCCGCCCGGCATGTCTTGTTGTTAGGTGTTTGAGAGGCAACATCCTTGTCGACCCCACCCCGCCCGGCATGTCTTGCTGGTAGGTGTTTGAGAGGCAACATCCTTGTCGACCCCACCCCACCCGGCATGTCTTGTTGTTAGGTGTTTGAGAGGCAACATCCTTGTCGACCCCACCCCACCCGGCATGTCTTGTTGTTAGGTGTTTGAGAGGCAACATCCTTGTCGACCCCACCCCACGCGGCATGTCTTGCTGGTAGGTGTTTGAGAGGCAACATCCTTGTCGACCCCACCCCACCCGGCATGTCTTGTTGTTAGGTGTTTGAGAGGCAACATCCTTGTCGACCCCACCCCGCGCGGCATGTCTTGTTGTTAGGTGTTTGAGAGGCAACACCCTTTGCGTGTGTCCTGTTGTTAGTGCTCAAAAAGCTATCTTCCACTGCGCCTGAAGTGATCCAAAAATTGCGACAGAAGTGATCCGCAAATGCTCAAACTACGACCAAAGTGAGTGGATTTCAGCTGCGACCAAAGTGATCCAAAAACTGCGACCAAAGTGATCCCCCCGCCCCCCTCGGCCCCAACTTGGGGCCTGCTCCTTGGGCCTCGCCACCGGCGTCGTCTCCTGGGGCCCCTTCTCTACGCCACCTGCGATGGGCGGCGTGGGCGGCCAGGTTCCATCTGGGTGGTTTGGAGGGGCTGCAAAGTCTCAGTCTTGTGAGCGGAGGGCTCAAAACAAGGCGAAACATTTCTATTTACCACTAACACTGCCTTCCCGAAAAGTTTAAAGTCCATGAACTCAGGAAGTGAGAAGTGGTCAGATTTCCCATTCGGGGGGCAGTGTGGAAGTAGCGGAACTGGCATGGACACAGGGTCATTGCCACATCAGCCCCACATTGCCCCGCTAGGAGCGGAGCGGCATTCAACAATAGATGGTTTTAGGGGCACCCCTGATCTTCTGGCGGCACAGCCTGCAGCCGCTACCCAAGTTGCCACGGGGAAGAAACTGCCGGGCGGCCGAACCTATTGATGTTTGGCTCAAGGGGCGAGACACGGCTGGAGCTTCAGACGACGGCTTTGGCTATCTGCGCGCAACTCATCCAAGCGAGACCAACACACATTGCGCAGTCAGCAAATCGGGGAAAAGGCGGCGCCGAAATCGGTGCGAAAGGGGCCCTCACGCATGCTCGAAGTCGCAAACTTGCTTTCAGTCCAGGGTGTGAGCTGTCAGCCCTGTTGGGACCTTTCAATTATTAACATGCCAAGTTGCCGAGTGACCCTGGTAGAAAAAGGGAACCATTTTGGGCCACGAGCCAAAATGTCACCACCGATGGAACTTAAACTCCCGTCCCCAAATTCAATTCCCATCATCCCCAGCCCCCCCCCTCCTCCCCCGAAAAATTGGTGAAACGGCACTTCGCATGGACCCACGGGGACGGCCAACTTTGGCCCAGCGGCTCGTCTTCGCCCTCACCAAGACTTTGTGCCCCGGCGGGCTTCTAGCGCCTCCGGGCGGGCTTTCGGGGGCCAAAGCAGACTCACTCAACATCTCCCCACAGGGTTGTCTATTCATCTGAAATTCTTCTTCATCTGGGATCAACAATCTTAAGAGAAACTTACCCAGAAAACCAAGGGAAACAGGTTAAACACTTTGCTTGGGGTCCTGTGGGCTCCACCTTGGGCTCTCCCTGAATTATAGCAGCCTAGACCACATCGCACTCACACCCAACCCCAACATTGGGACCCGGGAATCAACTTCAATCACAGGTAGCTGGGTAGCTGCGGCGGCCTGGGGACGCTGTCAAGACTTTTGGCTCTTTCCGGGAAACGCCTTCAAAGACAGCACCAACTGTCACGATAGGCGCCTGTCTCTGGTCGCGGAGAAAGAGTGCGGCCCACAGGGCCTCCGGAGAAAACGAAAAAAAGCACGGCCAAATGGCCTCCAGTAGAGAAGTTAGAATAAGGGCACCCTTTTTTCTGCAGTCTATTTTAGCAGGGGAACCCTCCCCCAAAAAAGGGTAAAAGGGCACTATTGCGGGACCTAGCTATTTGCCCACACCGAGCGCGTTTTGCAAAACCAGCCCACCGCGCTTGCGTGATCTGGAAAATATCTTGTTTGGAGGGCACCCCTGTTTGGCGATTTTACAGGGAAACCAAAAGCGAAACCGCCCAGTGCTTTGTGTGTTTGATGTTTTTAGGGAGGGAGCACCGGGAAAAAAAAGGCTGATGCGCGTATAGGCCCTGACCGTGCGTGGCATAACGAAGACGTTTTTCGAGACGCACCACACCCAACCAAGCAACCAAACAAACCCAACCAGCCAGCCAGCCAACCAACCAACCAGCCAACCAACCAAACAACCAACCAAACAAACAACCAAACAAACAACCAACCAATCAAATAACCAACCAACCAAACAATCAACCAACCAAACAAACAACCAACCAAACAAACAACCAACCAACCCAACAAACAAAACAATCTCACAGAGCAGTTGCACCACCAACACCACTGCACGACACCATCCAACATTGCTGCTCTTGCGGACAGGCCACCGCCCTACGGGCTGAGCGAATTGGGCGCCAAATGGCCACACCCTGTTCGCAGACCCGGGGAAACCAAGTAACAAAGCGGGCACGGTCTCGACAAACGTCTACAGCATGTCTACACTTGCGGCCTTAGCTTGGGCCTGGGGACACCTGAAACGCTATCAAGAATAATCCCCCTTCCTGCAAGCTTTGCAAAGCAGCACTAAATCCCCCCCCCCGATGGGCAGTACTCCAGCATGCCACCAAAGCTCGAGACGAGCCCCGTGTAATTGATATCCAGTTGCATGCCCTACACATGGAAACACTTCATTCGCTTCCCTTTGTCCAAGAGGCCTGTCTCTGATCGCGGCGACATAGTGCGGGCCACATGGCCTCCCGGTAAAAACTGTTGAACTTGAAATCGGCCCCACCCGCGACATCTTCCAACCAAAGTCACAGCTCACTTGCAAATGCTGATGCCCAACTACCTTGACCCATAGCTCTGTTCGACTGTTCCGCGATTCCCGTGCAACAGAGATCCGAAACCGGGGTGGCAGTGGACCTCCCATCGGGCCTGGATAACCCGCTTGGTGCGCCATGGGGCTGGCGTGGCCCGTCATTGGGCTGGCGTGGCCGCCTGCGGCAGCCTTCGCGGTGACGAAGACCTTGCCCTCAGCAAGGTATCGGGGGCAATCGGGCAGATCGACTTTGCTGAACCCGTGTGGTCCAACCCACGGTTGCAGAAAATACCGCTTTCTGCGTTACCAAGGTTTTTGACTCCCATGCCTACCACTTTCAAGGGAACAAGGGGATCGCATGATCACAGAAAGCGGTGCCCCAGAACCCCCGCAATTTCCCACAGCCACGGCCGCATGAAAACAGCCAAATGACTCCAAACGAGGCGTTCCTTTTGCACACGACTCACTTTTCTTTGAGGCAGGGGGGGGGAGGCTCCCAGGGCCAGCTGTTCCAACTGCAGCAAGGCTCGCCGAGTGGCTCAGGCTCGAATTGAGTTTAAAGAGAGGTCTAGACAAAATATTCTCTCTTGCCCCGGTGTCCTCCAAGATAGAACGCTTAAGGTCTTATCAGTGTGAGGCGAAGCAAGGGTGAGGGGAGGAGGGGAGGAGGGGAGGAGGGGAGGCGGGGAGTGGGGAGGCAACGCATGTGGCGCTGCTTTGACCCCCTCAGTTCATTCCCTGGCTGAACCTGACAGTGAAATTCGAAGGCAGACTGCGTCCATTAACGTGACAATCGCGAAAATTCCCTTCCCCATCGTCGTTGCAAAAGACGATGGCCGTCCCTCAAAATGCCCTGCCACCGGCCCAGCGGCGGTGATGGGGATGGGCGGGTCCACCCTGGGCCTCGTTTCCGAAGCGCAAGGACTGGTGCCTGGCAACTCGCCCACGCGCGTTGCACCCTTCACGTGTTAACCCCAGAAGTGCGTGCCAAATACTATTAAACCTGCACCCCGCCCACAAATATGGAACTGGGCTGGGCAGAAAACCGGAAGACCAGGTCCTCTAAAACGTGCACTTTTGGTGGGTTCTTTCCACATCCTTCCATGGAAAGTTGGGAGGGTGTATGCGTTCACTGGGTCCAAAAAGTGGTTCATGAATTTTGAGCCCAATGAATTGACCCCCCGGCCGATTGATCGGAATCAACATCGAAGCCATTGACATTTCAGGATCCTTTTGGAGCTATGTTTATCTTCCAAGGGCAAATCGCGTAGTGAAGGGCATGGACGTAAGATACCGTGGATGGGCTGAGATGGATAAAACTCTGCAAATATTGGGATAAACCACCTATCGATTGGTGCGAACCAGGTTTTGTCCATCCACAGTAGGACCAAACGTTGACCCAGCATCCTGAACAAACCGTTGAGTACAAGGCCTCCGGCCCGGATTCCGAATCCGTTCGCGCCTCGCTTCTCCGGGCCAACGGGAGAGCCCACCTGGCCGAGCGAGCAAAAACGGGCTAAATGTCAAACCTGCACTTAAAATCGGCCGAAATCCCCCTTTCCCGATAAAGAAAGGAAACTCACTTGAAATTCAACCATATCTCCTTGTTCATTCTTATTTCCAGGGTTCCAACTACGTTTCAAACCTCATGGAATTTCAGTCAGTCATTTGCTGATGCGTTTATTCACGTGTGGCATGAGGTGAGACACCCCACGCACCCTCAAACATCCCAAGCCTCCTTCGCTTTGGATCAGAAACAGAGTTGCTCAAAGATCCCCTGGCTAGAACATTGGCAAACACACATGCGGGTTGCTTCCGTTTCCTCCCCCCGCCCTCCCCCCTCCCCCCTCCGGTTTCTTGAAGGGGTTTCCAGTTGAAATAAATTAGCAAAAGGCTGTTCCCTACATTGCGCTTGATTTTCGGTCATTCAGCTCGCCTCGGCGGGCAGCGACAATCTCAGCCAGGCTGGAGGCATGTCCTCGGCGCTGGAACCCGCAGACCCCGTTTAAAGCTGGTTCAACGGGAAACTGACAAGAATTCCTAATCTGAAAAGCTAACCCTCTTTCCAACATCATGAAAGTGGACAGAAAGCCTTTGGAAGACTACAGTACGGCCCACTACAACAGGCCTATCCACTTCCACGAACCAGAAACCCGGCACCTCGCGCCGGATTTCCCCCAGCCCTTTAAACCCAGGCCCGATTGAATCGTTCCTTTTGGGTCGCGTGAAATTCAAGCCGAAGGAAGCCGCTCTCGGTTTTGGCGGCTAAACAAAAAGCACCCACTGCGGTGTGAGGTGCTGGTGATGCTGCAGGTGGTGTTGGGGTGTGCTGCTGGTGCTATTGACCTCAAAAACGCTAGGAACAACCTGTAGTTGGGACACGTTCATCTCGACTACAGCTTTTCCTATGCGACATTGTTGGAACTGCTGGGGGCTGTTGTTGGTGATGATGGGGTGTTGTTGGTGATGTTGGTGGTGTTGTTGATGTTGGCCGTGATTGGTGGCAATGCTCGGGTTGTTCTGCTTGCAAGGCATCAGCCAAATTGAACTCACAATGTCCTTGACGCTATGCAGGCGCTACACCATTAAGCTGCTACGCGCCAAACGAAGTGCATTCTCCAATCGCTGCATCGCTTAATCGCGCGACATGCTCGCTTGGCGGGTGCTCATCCGTAATCGCTTAGTCGCTTAATCGCTTAGTCGCTTCGTCCGTAAGCTGCAAAACCCTCAATACCTTTGTCGCTTTCCCAAATTGCTTAATCGCTTCCGGAGGACTTCATTACCACTCCACTCTGCCTTCGCAATGTAACAAAACACAACACTTGTAACCAATGCCTCGCAACAAAGGCCTTTTGTTGGGCCTCATCTCCTCGACCTAACGCTCCTTGCCAGCCCTGAAATAGAAGGGTGGCAGAAACAAAAAGGAACAGAACTCACACCAACAACGAAAAAATAATAACATGAAATGAACGAACCGATACACACACACAAAAAAAAACTCAACCAACTGCAAATCCTCCCTACGCCCACCGCAAAACCGCCTTAACCAATCAAGGCCAATAAAACAACAACTCACACACCAATAGAGGTTGAAATTGAAAAAGAGATAGGCAAGAAAGCAAACTAGCAAGCAAACTAGCAAGCAAGCAAGCAAACGCAAAGAAACAACAAACGCAACAAACGCACACACGCACACGCACACACGCACACGCACACGCACACGCGCGCGCGCGCGTGCGCGCGCGCACACGCACACGCACGCGCACACGCACGCGCGCACACACACACACACACCTACGCACACACGCACCAATGCAAACAAAACAAACCAAGACAAGACAAGGCAAGACAAGACACAAACATACGAGCGAGCGAGCGAGCGAGCAAGCAAGCAAGCCAGCAAGCAAGCAAGCAAGCAAGCAAGCAAGCAAGCAAGCAAGCAAAATCAAGGGGGGAGCGTGATCCGCACTTCTAACTGGCTTTCACAAGGGCCACCGATGCTACACTGTTTTCCATTTACCTACCAAGGGAAACCTTTCGGAGTTAGAATCAAAGGGCTTGGCTGTCTGTGTGTGCGCCCTTTTTTTTGGGAGGGGGGGTGTCCGTGTCCTATTCAGGTTGGCTGAAAGGAAGCCCCAAACAGAACCCCCGCCCTTTTTGCACCCTCCCCACATTGACGAGCCATGCCCATTGCCCATGGCCCCTTTCTCGGTGGCCGGGGCACTGCGGCGCCGGGCATGGTGTGCCCGGAGGTCCCGCAGGAGCTCACCGAGTCCCGGCGGAACCTGCGTTTGGCGGTCGCTTGGCGGTTTCGCCGGTTGGCGGGGGTGACGCCAACATGATCCTAGGGGAAGCTCCTAGAGCATTCTTTCCAGGGAGCCTTCTTGTCCAACCATCCAAAAACACAAAAAAACAGGGGAAACAGCAATCGGTTTGGCTCGAAACCATCAAAAACCAAAGGAAATTGCTATTGTTTTTGAAAAGAGCGATGGTTGAAAAGGACGGGAAATCAAACCCTAGAAAAAAGCTGGACTCATCAATGTAGGAGGGGCTTCTCCAAAAAACTTGCGGGTGGAATCATCCAAATGGCTGGGTGATAACCCCGTTTTATGAGTGGCCGCAATACATTAGGAAACCCTGCTGCTGTGGCAAAACGTCAGGAAACCCTTGGGAAAGCATTGGAGCAGCGTTAGGAAGCCGCAAAACCTCAGGTTGTTCATGGGAAAACGACTGAAAAACGATCTGAAAATCGTAAAACCACGGGTTGCTCAAGGGAAATTCCGTCTGAAACCCGAAAAAACCTCATGCTTTCTTCCTTGAAACCTTATAAAAACCTTAGGAAAACCGGAAAGCCTCAGGTTTGCCTCGCCGAACTCCATGAGAACCCAAGGCTCGCGGTGCATCCGAGCTGCGCCGTGGTGCTGGTGGAGTCCTCCGGCGACGGCGGGGCCGTCGTCGCGGAGGAGCCTGGAACCCGGCGGGTCCGACTTCGGACGCTGGTTGATGTACGGATAGGTATGTCTGCTGCCCCCCACCCAAAAAAAAGAAAAGAAAAAAAACATGGTAGCAACCGGCTCGACCCCATACACGCTTGTGGGCGTGTCTCTTTTTTGAGGGTGCCATGTACTGGGGGGGGGGTCTTTTTTGAGGTACGTATGGGTATGTCTGCTGCAAACACTTCACAACCCAAACGGGTGGCAAAATAACTATTCTTGCAGGTTGCTGGGCATGTGTCTTTTTGAGGCCATTTTGCTTTGCAGTTCTACAAGAAACCAACAGGACAACCGAAGCGATGCTAGGGGTTCGATTCCGAAGAGCGAGACGCATCCATGTGGGTGTATGCTAAAAACAGCCACATCCCCCCCTCCTCAAATGTTTGGTTTCCAGTTACTTTCTTTTTGCTTCCCATTTGCTTCCCTTTAAGAACCAACCGAAAGAGGGCTCCCCAATAAAAGAGACACCCATTGACCGCACAAAGGGCCCAACGAATGTGTGCAAATCAGAAGCTTCTCTCCAAATGGTGGGTTTGCTTTTTGGTTTTGGGAGGGGGGATTCCCATTTGCCCGGCACAAAGTCCACGGGGACAAGTCCCCACACAACAAATCCAAACCACCAACTAGGGTTACTTGAATATGTATGATACGTATGTAAAATATGTGTGTGTGTGTGTGTGTCTGTCATTTGTCATTTGCGTTTACAATTGCATAAGTGTATTCTCTACTGACGGTGCTGTATGTATGTAAGGGGTACCTACCTCAAGGCAACTTTGATAAGTGGTGGTCCGCAAGAACGAAGGCCGAAAATAATTAGGATTCTGTGGTCTTGGCTGGAAAAGCCCTGATTTTTAGAGAGTTGTTGCTTTTTTGCGGAAGGGTTCTGGACTTGGTAGCATTCCAGGCGTGCGATTCGGTCTCTCGATGTGGCGCTGGCGGCCGCAGGAATGGTCTGCGCAGGGCATGGTTCACGCCTTGCAGCCTCCCACCCGGGCGGGAAATTTACTTCAATTCCATGCAAATTGGCATGGGAGCCAAATAAATTAGCGCAAACCAATCCTTCAGGTCAACGTTCAAACCAGAAACCAAACGTGGAAGCCAAAAAGATATGGGTCCCCCAAAAGGAGACTCGGTTGGGTTTGTTCGTCTGCATCAACTTCAACCCTCCCGCAGCCCTGGGCCTGGGAAATCGGCGGGGTCCGCCTCAGGACGTTTCAGCTGCTCTCAGCTGGTTGCTGCTTTTTAGGCATATCCTCTCCATCCAGTGCTTCCAGTTCCCATGATACTAGCCTGGGCCTGGGAAACCATCATAAACCTAGAGGTGATAAACTAGGCACCTGTTCTGTGCGGCTGGATAGTTGTCTCATGATGGGTCATTGGTATTCATTGTGCAGCCTGCACACCTCAAACCATATAATATGAGCCCAGGAGTTGTTTGAATCACGCACTATGGTCCCACGCATGATCTGACATATTGAGCATACTGGCCAAGAGAAGCTTAAACACTTGGGCACTGGCCTACAACGCTGAAGTTTGCCAAAACAACAGGTAATGGATAGCAGCTTGCTCGGCGAAACTTCCATGTCACCTCCGGAAGACGACTAATGAACCGCCGGAAGCATGTTTGCGACGTAGAAGGCACAAACGCCGAAAGGCGGTTTCTAGGAAAACTGTCCACCAAATACTTTGGCAACACGAGGTACCTATGTAGAGAGATAACTTCAGCAATCAATGCGCAAGTTTGGCTTAGTCTTGGCCAACAGTCTTAATGGGAACCTCACAAGCGTGGGAACAAATCCCAACCTAAATGATCCTCCACCAGAGGGTAAAATTCCCACCCCCTAGCTTCCTCACGTCCTTGGATGGAATTCGCTGGGGCTCCCGGCCGAAAGTTTGCCAAAGTCAGGCCACACAGGCTTGAAGGCAGGAGGAGTGGTTGTCACCTGCAAATCTCGGCCCAAAAAAATCCCGAAATCCGAGGAAGCCAACAAGTGCTGCTTCAAAAGAAGGGGGAGGCCAAAACAGCAGGCGCTCTTCCGGAAATGAGAAGGCCACTGCATCTTCCGTTCCCAAATCTCCAATCACTTTTGGGTTCCAGGAAAACTGCCACTTGGAGGTCCAAAACCCCTGAGAAGTTGGCAAGGCACCTGGGAGACCAACCAGCAAGCTCGCCCCAACAGCTTCACCTTGCTGCTATGCTGCACTGCGGCAAAGCGCGCGAAGGGATGGATAGCCCAAGGATGTTCAACCATGTCACCGACCCCTACCTGGTGCCTCCCTGACAAGGGGTGATCCTAACTGCAATCTGGGCTCCCTTCATGCAGCAGATGGATGTTCGCAATTTCGTCGGAAACCTTCGGCTGAGCCAGAATTCCCTCCGCCTGAGGAAATGAATACCCAGGTGTAGGTTGTGGCCATGCCTCGGCCGAGGCAAAGTCGGGCTATCCGGGCTCTCGAAGTAGGATCCCCAGAAAAAAGGCCAACACCTTTGAGGCTACCCTTGAACCAAAAGAAAGCCACATGGAGGTTCCCTTCAGCATTTGGGGGGGGAGGGGGAGGGTCGGCCCAAACGCAAGACATCGTGCTAAATGACGCATTGTCAAAAAGCCTTTCCAACCAAGAAAGGATGGATGATTTCCCAATGACGTGACACTGGCTCATCATTCGAGGCAAGTTTCTCTCGGGCCCGGGGGGGACAACATCCGCAGCCGTTCGCACAAGGAATTGGGGAGGGATTCCGGCCTCTGCCCAGTTGTTTGACGTGCCAAGAGCTGAGCTCAGACAAATTCCCCACGCAAACCACGCAACACTCCTACGTTTCTCGTGCCCATGTCAGGCGACGGCACGCTTTCACTGGCTGAATGCTTCCTCGGGATGGTTTCGGCCCCCAAGCAAAATACACCATGCGGGCCAGGCTCTAACAGGGGTCCCCCTGTTTCCCCTTCAAGCATCATGCCAAGGCAATTCACATT